CTTGCTGTCTTGACTCTGAGACACACCCATTAAGACTCCTGATTTTGGGAGGAGGACATCCAGCCGGCGTAGACTCTATGCAGGGTGTCCCTGAGGGCTGGGGAAAAGGTAGTCTGCTGGTGGCGGTCTGGTTCAAGCTGGGCTCTGTTGCTTCTCAACCTACTCTAGTCCTGGGGTCACAGGATGGTGGAGAAGGACTTCCAGATCTGGGAACTCCTGGAGGTCCCTTCTCTGGTGCAATGCACTGGTTCAATGCCAGGGCAGCTACTCCCTGGTAGGTGATGGATGATGCCTTAGATCGGTGGTTCTCAACCTGTGGGCCGGGTGTCGAACAATCCTTTCACAAGGGTCCCATACCAGACGCCATACGTATCAGGTATTTACATTATGATTCATAACAGTAGCAAAGTTACAGTTATGGAGTAGCAATGGAAATCATCTTATGGTTTGGTGCCACCACAACTTGAAGAGCTACATTAAAGGGTCACAGCATTAGGAAGGATGAGAACCATTGGTTTAGGAGGGACCATTGCCGGTCCCTCCCTGCTGGTCCTGCTTATTTCTTCCTCCCTGCTTGCTGTGTAGAAAGCACTGTCCCTTAAGGTCCCCCTTGGCTTTTTTTTTTCTACGCACTTTTCCTCAGTCATCTCCAGTTGTGGGAGGCATCAGTGTTGAAAAGTGGCATGTCTGTGCTCAATTCTTTGTGTATCTGATTCTCGCCTGGTCCCCTCACCTGTTCAACAGAAGCTCTGCGCAAGCATGCCGTGGGCCATGTCACACACGGCACATTGTGGCTGGGAGCACTGTTGGCCACGACTCATCTTTCCCTCCACAGCCTCTGCCTGCATATCTGGGCCTGTCCCTTCCTACACTATGCACGGAGATAGGGCAAGTGACAAGAAGCTCCCCTTGAGCACGTGCGTGTGAGGAGCCAGGCATGAGAGCTTCATTTACAACTACTCAGCAAACCCCAGGCGGTGAGAGCTGAGTGGAGGACAGAGGGCTTCCTGGGAGAGCAGCTGAGGGCCACCTGGAAGGCAAGCTTTTCTGAGCAGGTGCTCAGAGAGCCAGGGAGGACAATGGCTTCCTTTAGTCAGGAATCCTCAGACTGACAGGGTTGGAGCCAAGGATTTCAGATCCATCTTATTGAGGAGGATTGCCAGAATGAGCTAGGTTCTGAACTACGCTAGGCCTTACCCAGGCCACTTCCCTAGCCAGGCCCCCTGGATCGTTCGGCTGCTTTCACATGGGGGAACTCATGCTTCCCTCCTCATCTCTGGAGCACACCCAATCCAAACAGACTCTGTCTGCTGAGCATCACATGGTCCCAGGGTCCGGGCTGGGGAAGGATCCTGGAGAGCTGGCCCAGGAATCATGAACCAGATCCTCAGAGGGCAAACATGGCCTGGCTAAGGGCAAGTGGCAGCGCTTCTGGAGCCACAGGTGGAGGGAGCTTAGAGATAAATGGCTGGAGTATCTGACCTTAGGCTTGTCATTCTGAGAAGGTAAGCATGGCTAGGGAACTTGTGAGAATTTTCCCTTATTGCCTAGAGTAGGGGCCCAGCATCAGCATTTAAAGCAAGAAAATTAATAATCAAAATTAGCAGGTTGACTGGGGTAAAGGTTAACAACTCAACTGTCATTTATACCTGCAGGGAAAGGGGAAAGTCAGTTTTCTCTACTGATATACTCAGTAGTGAGTATTCCAACCACTCCAGGGCAGGCCTCAGGTTCAGGAGTAGTTGACAAACATATAATGGTTTGTTTGTGTGTGTGTGTGTGTGTGTGTGTGTGTGTGTGTGTGTGTGTGTGT